GCCTCCAGGTGAGACCATAGCTCTGGTCTCTTATGAGAACCTAAGCAGAGAACACACCGAAGTCCACCTGGACTTCTGCCTAAAAGAACTGTGAGTTAACAGGCAGGTGTGGCTTTAAGCCATGTTGGTGGTGATTGGTTACACAGCATAGATACTTGATACACATCTCTGTCGGGACTTGCACCCCCACCATGGACCTGAAATATTTAGACCACTAAATGTTGGAAGAAAAGATATGACAAACCAAGACCATGTTTAAAAAGCAGAGACATCACTTGGCCAGCAAAGGTCTGTATAGTCAAAGCTATGGTTTTTCCAGTGGTCACGTACAGATGCACAAGCTGGACCATAAAGAAGGCTGAGCGCAAAAGAATTGATGCTTTTGAACTGTGGTGCTGGAGAAGACGCTTGAGAGGAGTCCGCAAGGAGATCAAACCAGTCAATCCTAGAAGAAATAAACCCTGAATATTCACTGGAAGGACTGATGCTGAAGCTGAAGCTCTGATACTTTGGCCACCTGATGCAAAGAGCTGACTCATTGGAAAAGACTCTGATGCGGGGATAGACTGAGGGCGGGAGGAGAAGGGGACGACAGAGGATGAGATGGTTGGTTGGCATCACCAACTCAATGGACGTGAGTTTGAGCAAATGAGATGGTGAAGGACAGGGAGGCCTGGCGTGCTGCAGTCCATGGAGTCACAAAGAGTCAGACACGACTTTAGCAACTGAACAACAACAACAAATGTTAGGTGGAGAACGCTGATGGTTGACACAGACCCCCAGCTCACGCCTCACAGGTGGATTTGCTCCAGGTGGATTTGCTGTTCAGTGTGAGAAGCAGACCTATAAAGGTTTCAGAGCACCTTGTAGAATAACATTTCCATAGCCTTGGGGCAGGGCTATCTTCACACAAAAAGTGCAAACCACGCAAGAAGAAGTTGATCAACTTATTTTTAGACAAGTAAAAAATGTAGATGCTTGCCACAAACACACTGCCAGTAAAAGCAATCCCAGAAGACATATTTCAGGCCAAAGGGGAATAACTGCTGAAGGAAGATTCAAAAAAAAAAAATCATGAGCAAAGTGTGTGGGGAATATCTGGATAAATCTGAACAAACTGTGACTGCATAAAACAAGAAAAGTCAGGTCTAACTTGGGGAAGTTAAAACTAGAAATGAAATACACGACCCAGTCACATGTAAGTCAGAAGGGGAGTGACGTATTGTGAACTCTCGTTTCATTTGGAAGGAGTATAAAATGTTGATTAGACACTTCAAAGTTCAATACGCCTGGTAAAAGTCTCCAGGGTCACTGTTAAATGAATAGAAATTGAATCTATAAGTTTCAAAGTTGTCGTGGAAGAGAGAATAAAATGACAAGAAAAATAAACAACCTAAAAGAAGCTACAAAGAGAGAAAAAACCGTGCCACAGGGCAGCTCAAAAGAAAAGACAGAGGTAAATCCCTCTGCCCCAAGGTTACGGTAGATGAAGCCATGTCTACGCTGAACTTGACCTTGAGAAAAGACACTGTTGAACCCTGCACCGCTTTCACAGGCTGACTCCTCCCCACCTTCAGATTTTGGCTCTAATTCCTCTTTCTCAGGAGGTCTCCGCTGACTTCTCTATCCAAGGTCAGTCTCCAAGCAGCTCCTCTTTTTTCCTCTTTGCTGCTGAGGTCCCGTTTGATAAGTACGGCTCATCCTTGTTATCCACAAATTCCAGGTTTGCAAATTCATCTATGTGCTGAAATGTCCCTGTATCCCCAAAGTCAATGTGCAACAGAACCAATACTTTCATGAAATGTGCACACATGTGCAGAGCGATATAGCATCTGAGTTACCTGAGGCACACAGGTTCCCAGCCGAGGTCCAGCAAAGCCACCATCTGCCTCTGGTTCCCTCTCTCATACCGTAAACTAGCATCCCTTGTAGCTTGAGTTGGTGAAGAATCTGCCTGCAATGCAGGAGATCCCAGTTTGATTCCTGGGTCTGGAAGGTCCCCTGGAGAAGGGGTAGGCTACCCACTCCAGTATTCTGGCCTAGAGAATCCCATGGACTGTATAGTCCACGGGGTTGCAAAGAGTCGGACGTGACTTTCACTTTCACTTTTCGTGGTCTACTTTGTAGCCCATTTTTGTGCTTTTTGTCGATTACATTGCTGTTCAAAATGCCTCGCCGCGCCCCCCACCCCGCAGCTTAGTGCTGAGATGCTAAGCGCGAGGAGTCTGCAAGGTGCCCACACATTAGGCACTGGTTCAAAATTGGGAAAGGAGTGCCTCAAGGCTGTATATCGTCACGCTGCTTATTTAACTTACATGCAGAGTACGTCATGCGAAATGCTGGACTGGATGGAGCACAAGCTGGGATCAAAACTGCCAGGAGAAATATCAGTAATATCTCAGAAATGCAGATGATACCACCGTTATGGCAGAAAGCAAAGAGGAACTAAAGAGCCTCTTGACGAGGGTAAAAGAGGAGACAGAAAAAGTTGGCTTAGAATTCAACATTCAGAAAACTAAGATCATGGCCTCTGGTCCCATCACTTCATCACAAATAGATGGGGAAACAGTGGAAACAGTGGCTGACTTTATCTTTCTGGGCTCCAAAATCACTGCAGATGGTGACTGCAGCCATGAAATTAAAAGACGCTTGCTCCTTGGAAGAAAAGTTATGACCAACCCAGACAGCATATTAAAAAGCAAAGACACTACTTAGACAACAAAGGTGAGTCTAGTCAAAGCTATGGTTTTCCCAGTAGTCATGTATGGATGTGAGAGTTGGACTATAAAGAAAGCTGAGAGCCGAAGAATTGATGCTTTTGCACTGCAGTGTTGGAGAAGACTCTTGAGAGTCCCTTGGACTCCAATGACATCGAGCCAGTTCATTCTAAAGGAAATCATCCCTGAATATTCATTGGAAGGACTGATGCTGAAGCTGAAGCTCCAATACTTTGGCCACCTGATGCTAAGAACTGACTCATTTGAAAAGACCCTGATGCTGGGAAAGATTGAAGGAGGGAGGAGAAGGGGACGACAGAGGATGAGATGGTTGGATGGCATCACTGACTCAATGGCATGAGTTTGAGTGAACTCTGGGAGTTGGTGATGGACAGGGAGGCCTGGCGTGCTTGCTGCAGTCCCTGGGGTCGCAAAGAGTCGGACACAACTGAGCGACTGAACTGAACTATATATACCAGAGGGAAATGTATGCACCAGTCGGAGCGAGTTTGAGACTCCCAGCAGAGGCTTAACCCATGGAGTTTAGTTTTCTCCCCAACAAGGGTTGGGGCAGTGTGCCATCAATATCCCAATGCCTCTGACTCCAGCCTCCCGAGGATGAAGTCTCATCTTCATGCACAAAAGTGGCTGCTGCACCTCCAGCCTTTAACCCACAGTCCAAGAAGAAGAAAAGCATTCAGGAGGGACAGTGATGCCTATACTAGAAAAGCAAAAGCTGAGCGGGAAACCTCTAGCTGACTTCTGCTTACATCCCTTTGGCAAGAATGATGTCACGTGCCCTGGATTCCGAGGCAGCCAGGAGGTCAGGAATTTTGGCTGGGCACATTTCCATCAGATCTACCTCTGCAGTTTCCTCAGAGAGGGAGAAGGGAGACCAGAGAGGGGGTCAGCAACCAAGCATGATCGGCCCTCTGCAAATGACACTGTGGCTCCTGTGGGGCAGATATTTTTTTAACAAACTACAGAACTTAGGCTTGCCTGGTGACTCAGAGGGTAAAGAATCTGCCTGCAAAGAAGGAGATGCAGGAGACACGGGTTCGATCCCTGAGTAGGGAATTTCCCCTGGAGAAGGAAATGGCAACCCACTCCATCATTCCTGCCTGGGAAATACCATGGACAGAGAAGCCTGGCGGGCTACACTCCATGGGGTTGCAAAGAGTCAAGACTTAGGAGCCTGGCTGGCCCCACCCAAGGAGTCTCTGCATTCTTTCTCCAAACCCCTCTCTGCCCACTTCTTCAAAGGAGAAGTTGATGTTGCTCTTAAGTTTCCTCTTAAATCACCCTGCAAAACGGCCATCCTGTCCCATCTGACCTTGGCAGAGCTCAGAGCAGCTGCTTCCATGGAGTTCGATCACTGCCCAGAAGAAGCCCCCTCCTGCTGCCGCCCAGGGGCTTGGACACCATAAGCACCGACCCGGGGGACCTCGTGGACCAGTCACACACTGTCACGTGTTGTCCCTTTTCCCAGAACGTAGTGGGGCTGCGGGCAATGTCCTGGGAGGGCCGGTCACACAGATAAAATTGCAGATATGAACAGACACTTCACAAGACAAGTCACCGTTGTACTGGGCTGGCCAAAAGTTCGTTCGGGGTTTTCTGCAAGATGTATAGAAAAAAAATCCAAACGAACTTTTTGGCCAACCCCATAGTTTGGGAAGCTAGCCACTGCTGTTGAGATGCCAGCCAAGTGGGGTTTCAATCTCCCCCACCACCATCCACAAACCCCCAGCTTATTTCCGACATTTCTCACCACATAATCTGAACTCAGATGTCGTCAGTGGGGCTAAGCCTGGATGAGGCATCTCGTGTTTCCAGGTAAATCGGCGCATTAAGATGCTGGTCCGTGGCTGGGGGTGCAGGACAATGCAGACTCCCCAGCCAAGCCACTGTTACATAAGGGCCAAAGGATGGTTTTCTTCTATCAGGAAATGAACCCCTTAGGTCACAATGCAAAGTCTATGAAGCCCAGGGCACTTCCAGGTGTGAAAATCCCTTTGTATGACTGTGTGTGTGTGTATGTGTGTTTGGGCGGGGCGGTGATCTCTAAGACTTGTTTCAGGAGCAGGAGGAGAGCCAGGAGGAGAAGCAAAGGAAACCAGGGATTAAGATAACCCTCAGCAGGGCGGCCCATCTCTCCAGTGATCCTTCCTGCCGAGCACACACCTGGGTTCCAACCTGGCCCTGGGCGTCTCTTCCCACGAGAGCATCAGCCCCAAATCTACCAGCGCTCATGGCCCACCTGGGCGCTGGGCTTGAGGAAGCATGGACAGGAGGCCGCAGGGGCCGGAAGAGTCTGGACCACCCCGCATCCCCAAAGCTGGAGGTGCCGACAGCAGGTGGGCAGAGCAGTGACCCCAGGTCACCCTTGAGGCAGCCATTGGCTGCTCTCGAGCCTCAGTTTCCTCCTCTGTAAAGTGGGGCCAATTGGAAGCAGTGGGTCTCACCAGAAGTGACTTGCCCACCGAGGGACATTTGGTGCCATCTAGACACTTTCTGGGGTGTCACAGTAAGTTGTTGTTGCTGCTGTTGTTCAGTCGCTAATTCATGTCCGACTCTTTGCAACCTCATGAACTGCAACACGCCAGGCCTCCCTGTCCTTCACCGTCTCCCAGAGCTTGCTCAAACTCCTGTCCATTGAGTTGGTGATGCCATCAAACCATCTCATCCTCTGTCGTCCCCTTCTCCTCCTGCCCTCAATCTTCCCCAGCATCAGGGTCTTTTCCAATGAGTCAGCTCTTCACATCAGGTGGCCAAAGTATTGGAGTTTCAGCTTCAGCATCAGTCCTTCCAGTGAATATTCAGGGTTGATTTCCTTTAGGATGGACAGGTTTGATCTCCTTGCTGTCCAAGCAAGCACCCTGAGCATGGCCTTAGCTCTGCTGTCCCCGGGTTCACGGGCGTCTCCTTGGCCAAGTCACACTGAGGCTGTATCCAGCCGACATTTACGGGGCTCTCCTCCTCTGTCACTGCCGCCCACTCCTCCCTGGCCCTCCCATCTGACAGCAGGGTCTGCAGTGGGGAACTGGGTGGCCCGAGACAAATGTCCTCCCTTCCAGGACTGAGTTCCCCTTACTCCAGGAGTTATAACAACTCCAGCCTTGACACGGGTCACTGACCGTGTTGGGGGTGTGGAGGGGAACGAAAAGGACACAGAGGTGAGGAACACCCAGTTTAAATTCAGGAACACCAACCATGGTACTTCACGCGATCCCACCCAAGGAAAAAGCAAAACGGGAGATCCACGTGCTTCTTCTGCAGAGAAATTACCATGAATGTGAGATACCGGGGTCCCAGCAGGACTCCTGCCCGTGGACCGGAAAAGAGTCTGCTCCCAGCTCTCGTCTCCTGTTACCGACCGGGGTTCTTGGCCTTCTTCACCAATAGAAATTGATCAGAGGCCAGACAAGAAATTCAGGCCAGGCTTTATCAGGGACCCTGCTGCTGCAGGGAGGAGTGAGAATGAGTAACAGGTTCCCTGGCTCCCTCCCTGGGGTTGGGAGGGACTAACTGCTTCCTTACATAGGGTGAGGGTAGGGGTGTGTCCAGGGGTCAGGCCAGGTGGAGCACAGTGGCTTAGGTGGTTTGCCCACCCTTTGGTGGTACTATGCAGGGCGCATGCTCAGTACCCTGCTTTTGCTCTTGGCTCTTTGGAAGTGGCAACTGGGTTTTCGTCTGTATTTATTTTTGGCTGTTCTGGGTCTTCGCTGCTGCCCGGGGGCTTCTCTCAGTTGCAGCAAGTGGGGGCTACTCTTCCTGCAGTGTGTGGGCTTCTCTTGCTGTGGAGCCGGGGCTCCGGGGCGCACGGGCTTCAGCAGTTGCAGCTCCCAGGCTCCAGAGTAGCTCGGGATTTTGCACGGGCTTAGTCGCTCGGCAGCAGGTGGGATCTCCCTGGATCAGGGATCAAACCCGTGTCTCCTGCACTGGCAGGTGGATTCTTTACCACTGAGCCCCCAGGGAAGCCCCACTTTTGGTCTCTTTGCTGTCCATGCACAGGCGTGCACACCGTTATTTTTAGTCGCCTATAGTTTCTTCAAGTTTTGTTGCTCAAGGAGATGTTTGTCCAGGAGCAAGCACCTTAGCCCGTGGTCCCAGGCCCCCGCCTGTGCAAGCCCCGTCCCCAGGATGGAGGTCTGCCCCCAGGCCAGCTCCTGCGGGAGGCCCCTTATCACCACTAAGAGGCTGCAATGGACAGAAGTCTTGAGCTCCACCAGGCCCCATCCCAGAGCGATCCCATCTTTATCGGCAAAAAAAACCTCCCAACTGAAGAGGGCCTTGGCCAGGACGCTGAGCCAGCCAGCCCCCAGTCATCCTGGGGCCATTTCCGAGGAGGGGACGTGTTGGCCGAGCCAACGTGGGTTCCAAAGCATTTCTGTGGGCAGCGAGTTCCCAGGTCCTAGGCCCAGCCCCAATAGGTCTTGCCATGTCTCTTCTAGATCCCAGCCCACGAACCTGGACAGCCCAGAAAACACACCACTCAAGTCTTGGCGGGTCTTAGATACTGAGCCTTGACTCTGATGGTCTCATGATCCACTGGGTTTTGTTATAATTGATGATATGCACTGGGTAGATGGCGCTAAATTCCTTCCTTCATGCTGCAAACATTTAGTGAGCGCCTGTTGTATACCAGACACTGTGCACAAGGACGGTGTGGTTCCCAAGTCCGTCCGCCTGGCCAGGCTAGCAGCCACCGTGAGGGCCTTTGCGGGGAGGTGAGGCCATATTTAAAAGTCGGACTCACACATAGGTGTCTGTGTGTGAAATTCTCCTGGGCACACAAGGCCACGCTTTGGGGGAAGAGACACAAAATATAAGAAATCCTTGGGCAGGAGAAGCTTACCTTATGGGGGAGACAGCACACTCTCCCTGGAAAAAAAAATAAGGTGTGTCAAGCCTACAGATAAGTCATTCCCAGATGCCTGCGTGGAGGAGTTCACAACTGCCCTGCGTGGAGAGGATGGACCTGGGGAAGCAACATGGTGCCAAGTTCTGGTTCAGTTCCCAGCTCTGTTGCTGCTCTCCAGCCTGGACACATAATGCAGTCCCCTTAAACTCAGTTTCCCCATCTGAGAAATGGGGCCAGTAACCCCTTGATGGTGAAGGGAGTTGGTAGACTATGGTAAGGAGGTGGCTGAGCTCAGCACATTGATGAGAAAGGTGCCCCAGGTATCACGGGAAGGAGGGTGGAGCTACTCTGGGGTCCGCGGAGGCAGCAACTGCCCCAGGCTGCAAAGGAAGGCCGAGTCCCAGCCATTACGTCTTCTGAGCCGTGAGCAGGATTCCGGCCTTGGGTCCCCTGGAAGAGGCCATTCCCCAGTCCCGAAAATAAACAGGCTCGGCAGAGGTTGGCACCAACACTGCCAGCCCCAGTGTGGCCCAAGGGCTTTTCAACCAGTGGTCAAGGTGTCAGAGCAGCCTCGGCCAACAGCTGCCTGCATGGAAAAAGAAAGCAGGACAGGATAGGCCAGGCCAGGTGCTGATGGCCACGTGAAGTGGGCATTGGGAGGCACCAAAGACAAAGTTCAGCTTAGGCAAAGTCAAAACAGGTCATAGTCCTAAACGTAGAACCTAGAGCTATAAAACATCTAGAAGAAAACAGAAATTCTTTGTGACTTTAGGTTAGACAAAGAATTCTTAAAATGAAAAAAAAAAAAAAAAGCTCATTTAAAAATTATACACTGGGCTTCATGGAAATAAAAATTTCTGAGCTTCCAAAGACACTGTTAATAAAAAAAAGCCACTGTCTGGGAGGAGATATTTGAAAAATACATGTCTGTTAAAGGTCGATGTCAAGAACGAAGAAAGAACATTACAGCTCAATGATAAGACAAACCAGCCTAAGTTTTTTTACTGAGCAAAGTTTGATGCGATTCTTCACCAGAAAAGAAAGGTAAGACAGCAAGTAGTTCACACCAGTCAATGCTAAAGGAAATCAACCCTGAATATTCATTGGAAGAACTGTTGCTGAAGCTGAAGCTCCAATACTTTGGCCACCTGATTCGAAGAGCCAATTCATTGCAAACGATCCTGATGCTGGGAAGGATTCAAGGCAAAAGAAAGGGGTGGTGCAAGACGAGATGGTTAGATAGCATCTCCGTCTCAATAAACAGGAGTCTGAGCAAACTCTGGGAGATGGTGGAGGACGGAGGAGCCTGGCATGCTGCCGTCCATGGAGGTGGAAGAGTCAGACCCAACTCAGCCACGGAGCAACAGCAGCACTGAGCGTGCAGCCCAGCAACGCTGCTCCAGTGAGCATCCAAGAGAAAGGGAAACACGTCCACCCAAAACCTGGGTCCAGATCTCTGTAGTAGCTTTGCACATATTAGCCACAAACGGGGGCAACCTGAAAGTCCATTAGCTGGTGGATGGAAAAGCAGATTGTAGTCTGTTCATACAACTCAGTGTTCATGCTCTAATCACGTAATACTCAGCAATAAGAAGGAACTAGCTGCAAACACACATGTCATCCTGGGCGAATCTCAGATGTGTTAGGCTAAGTGATAAAGCCAACCGCAAGAGGCTGTGTGCTGCACAATCCACTTAAACACCTTGGAAAAGGCAAAACCTTAGGGACAAAAACCAGATCTGTGCTTTCCAGAGGCTGGGGTGGGGAAAGTGTTGCCTGCAAAAGACCAGCAGAAAGGATGGGGGTGATGGGACAGCTCTATGCCTTGATTGCAGTGGTGGTTGAGTACCCTGAATACTTTTATCAAAAGGCATCAAACTGGCAAAACTTCTAGCCCAGTGACATCCCCTCCAGAAGTCATCACTCTCTCACTGAAATGACTAAAGTGGGAAGAAGGGGACGAGCATGTCCTGTGTAGCAGATGCTACAACTGAACTGCAGTGTCCCCTCTGCCCAGGTTTCCAATGGGTCCTGTGTTCTCTCCATTTTACAGGTGAGCAAACTGAGGCCTAGAGAAGTGAAGTCACCTGGCATCCCCCAGCACGGATGCCATGGAGTTGAGATTCACCCTCCGCACCCCAGACCTCCAAGGCCTTCGTCAGGCCGACCCCAGGGGCAGCTGAGCCTGCTGCCAGCTGAGCCTGCTCTCTAGAAGGACGCTGCCAGGAACTGACCTGCCCAGGCTCACAAGGAGAGGAGACGAGTCAGAAGGGAACCCGGTCTCACTGATCCACGAACACTCACTCCTCCAACGACAGCCACGAAAACAGAAAAGGCCCCAGGACGTGAGCACAGAGGAGGACTGGGGGGTACGAGGCACCACACGGAGCAGGGCCCTGTCCTCAGGAAGCTCCCGGCTTCACCTGACCCCACGACCCTGTCCCAGACCAGAGCGTATGGCTGCCCGTTTCCTCCTGAGAACTATTCATCAGGCCCCAGAGGTGACAGAGGTGAGCATTGTCCCTGTCCCAAGGGGGCTAAGGTTTAGAGGCGGGAGGGAGGGGACTCAGGATGGCATCCCAGGTCCATCCAGGAGGGATTTGGGAGGGTGGGGTGGGTGGCGGCGGGGTAGAGAAGGTGCTGTGTTTCCAACCTGGAGCATCGGAGGGTCCACACTGCATTTCACAGCATGCAGGTGTCTGTAGGAAGGAGTTAAAACCTTGCACCCAACCCAACCTGATCCGTGCTCCTCCGGGCATCAGGAACCCCTGAGCAGCCGGCCCATGAACACTCAGCTCCGGATTCCAAGCCGTGGGAATAGCACAGGCAGAATGCCCCACCTAGAGGCAGGAATGCAGCGCTGAGCCCGGGGCCCCGGCGGGCTCAGCCGTCCGGCAGGTCCAGACATCTGGGCGAGAGGACGGCCCCGTCCCCGCTCCCTCTGAGTGGCCTCTGCCTGGACTTCCCACCCTGGCTGCGCCACCTGCTGCAGCCACCCATCTGTGCTTCCCTCCCTGTGAGGTGAGAATTGAAATCCTGTCCACACCCGAGTCTCTCCGAGCGGCTTCATGGTGATGATGCGGGCAAAGTGCGGGGACGTGGGACGGGTGCGGCCAGAGCCCCTGTCCCTGCGGCTTGCTACCCGGACGCCGGTGGCGGTGGGACTGGACGGTGTCTCTCCCTGACAGCCAGACAGCCTGCGTCCCAAGACGCCAAGCTGTCCTGGTGTGGGGACCTTTCCGAACCACCCTGGCGGCTGGGACGGTCCTAGGGCCTCGTCCGGCTCATGCTGGGGTCCAACTGGCATCTGTTTGCTCGGGTCCCCACGGTTGGCAGGTTGGGGGCATCAGATCTGGACATACGGCACCCTGGAGGAAGGGCCGTCTGGGTGGGAGAAGCAAGGGCTGGCCTCCCGGGCCTCCGGCGAGGACCCGCGTGATACCGAGCTGACCACGAGGAGGAGAACCTGCAAAGACAGGGGCCCCAAGCTCAATGGCAGGACACGCGCGGAGGGAGGGCGGCTCTTTCTCGGCAGGGATGGAACGCCCTCCCCGCTCCTCTCCCACGACCAGGCGGGGGAAAAGGCCACAGGCCCTGCCGCCCCAGACTCTGAAACCTGAGCTTCTGCAGAAGGAACACCCCGGGCCATGGTGACCGGGCTCAGGCGGCGCCTTACTCAGACTCTGAAGTCGGTGCTAACAGATAAGGTGCTAACGTCGGCAGCGAGGTCATACCCCTCCTTGAGGTCACACAGTCGGGAGACAGCCAAGCAGGGGCTGGAAATTCTCCCTCCGGGGTCCCACCTGCGCCCCTCAACCTCACTCCCGCTCCGTGCCTGCCCCCTCGATCAAGGCGCCCCATCGCCACCGCCTTCCCTAGTTCACAGTTCACAGCCCTCAGGTCCCAGAAGAAGGGCAAGTCTTGTGACCTTGAATTAAGATTTTCAAGGGCCTCAGGGAATTTTGCTTTCAAGGGTTCCTTCTTTCCTTAAAAAATAATAAGAACAATTTCTGTTTACAACATTGTTGGACTAAGAGCAAATTAATATTATGCACTCTGTTACTTTCCTGGTGTTCAAGGCTCGGTTGTGTCTGACTCTTTGCGACCCCATGGACTATAGCCACGGGGTTCCTCTGTCCATGGGATTTCCCAGGCAAAAATGCTGGAGTGGGTTGCCATTTCCTCCTCCAGGGGATCTTCCAGACCCAAGAATCCAACCTGTGTCTCTTGCATCTCATGCACTGGCAGGTGGATTCTTTACCACAACCACCCCCTGGGTTACTTTTCCAAGGCTGCTGCAATAAATCACTGCAAACCAGAGATTTATTCCCCAACAGCATGGAAGCCGGAAGTCCGAATTCAAGGTGTCCACAGGGCCTCACTGCCTCTGAAATCTCTGGGGCAGGGGCATGAGGGGACACTTCCTGTCTCTTCCCGTCTCTGGGGGGTCCAGCCTGCCTCGCTGTGTGTCTGTGTGTTTTCTCCTCTTGTAAGGACACCAGTCATTGGATCCGGGCCCACCCTACTCCAGCAGAAGCTGGTCGTCACTCATCACCTCTGCAGAGACCCCGTTTCCACATAGCATCTCATTCTGGAGTTCCAGTCAGACACAAATTTCACAAAAACGCTGCACAACCCAGTACATATATTTAAACATTTTCTTCAACCTAACAGCTCATTTTTTTCTTAAACTCTGATCTTAAAAGAAGTTGGAATGGTTTCCTGCATCCGGTCCCTGGACCCCCTAGAGACGTCACCTTCGTACCTGTTGCCTCCCCCAGCACCCGGCACACAGTAGGTCCCGGGCAAGCACTTGGCCAGCGCCTGGTCCAGCAGCTGTGCAAGGTCAGGCCGGGCCCAAGCGTGCGATTCTGTTTGCCTCTGCCTCCGCCCAGGCGCTGGCTGGATAATACTCTCCGGATAATCTGCTCCGTCCCCAGGGCGCCTTCCCACAGGCCGCCCTGCACAAACAGGCCACCACCCGGCCGGCTCCAGCCTCCCGATAGGAGCGGGGAGGTGAGATTGTCTTGACACCGCTTTAATTTTTCAAATAGCAATCCAGTTACCAAGCACGTTGGCACCTGGGCCCGGCTCCACAGCCACTTGGCAGGACCCGCGAGAGCCGCTGGCAGTAATGGGGCCGCTCGGCACACACACCCACTCCCCCACCCCGCCTGGCCACCCGCGCCAGCCTGGTGACCGCACGCGGCCAGCCCCGACAGCTGCATGGCCGCGGTGCCAAGAGGCAGAGCCGCGGGATCCAGCCGGGCGAGCCTCCTGGCCCAGCCTTCAGCAGGCCGTGAGCAGGGCCTTGCCCCCCACAGGGGCCGGGCTGTGGGATGCGGTTTCCCGGCCACCTGGTCTGGCCCTCCCTTGGGTCCATCACCAAAGCCAAATCAACTCACAAAACATAAAGTAAGAAGTGAGGCAGAGACCCTGAAGGCCAGAGGAAACTTGACCGTCAGAAGGTCCGACCCACCCACGGTATGGTTGGGGGAATCTGAGGCCAGGACCAGGAGACTTCGGAGCCAGGACTGGAACCAGGACCCCGGCTGTCGGAGGAGACGCCGGCTCAGCGAGCGCTTCCCAGGGGGGTGGGAGCTGGCTCGCTGGGGTCAAGTCTCGTCTCTGCTCCTTGCGAGCTCTGCAACTCTGGACAAGTGGCTTCACCTCTCTGTGCCCTGGTCTGCTCACCCCCAAAGTGGTGTCATGTGGCCCCTGCCTCCCAGGGAAGCCGTCGGGATGACGGGAGTGCATCTGGGCACAGGGAGAGGCCGGCCCCGGGGTCCGGTCAGCGTCACCCACGAGCGGGATGCAGGGGTCCCACCTGTGGCAGGAGAAAGAAAAGGCAACGGTGGGCAGCTCGGGCGGCAAGACCAGCACCTGCCTTGTTCAGGCACTAAGCCACTATTAAGCGCCATCTGTATGCGGGCCTCCAAGGAAAGCTGCCGTCCCTGAGTTATAGGTGTCAGCGATGGAAAAGCAGGGCTTGAGGGGACGTTGAGCCCCAGAGAGGGGAGGTGACGTGCTCAAGGACCCAGATCCCGAGCCACAGTTGGGGAGGGGGTGTGGGGGATGGGGAGCTGGGAGATCAGGCTCCAAAGGGTGAAGTTCCCTCCCTGCCTGCCTCCCAAGATCCCAGTTTATCACCCCTCAAATGTCCCCGGGACCCAGACCTCCAACAGATGAGTGTCACAGGTGAGCCAGAGGCCACCCAGGTCACAGGGAAGGGGATCTGGATGAGTGAGGGGAGGACCAGGCAATATCCAGACCGGGGCCACCAATATGGCAGCCTCTGGCTACACATGGCCCTGGACTTGACATGTGGCTAGTGAGACTTGAAAATGTTGTTTAAATTGTATTTCACTTCAATCAATTTAAATTTAAAAACCCAATCAATGTAACATGGATTTTTTTAGATTCAACTACTTTGGCAGGATGTTGAACATGAAACATCCAAACCAAGAAGTCCTGTCTGTAAAAATAACACAGGGTTTTGGAGAATTAAAGGTGTGCAAAAGAATGCAAGATATTTTGCTAATGATTTTGATGTTGATGTGCTAAAAATAGTATTTTGGATATGTGCATGCATGCATGTTAAGTCACTTCCGTCAAGTCCAACTCTTTGTGGCCCGCCAGACTCCTCTGTCCCTGGGGATTCTCCAGGCAAGAATACTGGAATGGGCTGACAATTCATTCTCCAGGGAATCGTCTTGACCCGAAGGCTGAACCCTGTCTTGGGGGCTTCCCAGGTGGCGATAGTGGTAAATAACCCATCTGCAAATGCAGGAGACCTAAGAGATGCTGGTTCAATCCCTGCATCGGAAAGATTCCCTGGAGAAGGGCATGGCAACTCACTCCAGTATTCTTGCCTGGAGAATCCCATGGACAGAAGAGCCTGGCGCGTACAGTCCAGGGGCTTGTAAAGGATCTTCAGTTGCCACGTGAGAACTCTTCGCTGCATCACGTGGGATCGAGTTCCCTGACCAGGGACCGAACCCGGGCCCCCTGCGTTGGGAGCTTGGAGTCGTAGGACCAGGGAAGTCGCCATCAGGAGCACTTTTGGGGTCACAGACACAGGCGCACACCGTTGCCATGGAAAGACAGAGGGAGAGTGATGGGGGCTTCTCGGGGGACCCAAACGCCTCCACTTGGGGTGCAGAGCACTGCCCTGTCATCTGGCAATTCCGAGAGCCCCGCTGCAGGGCGAGGGTTCCAGAATGTTTGCAGGAGACATAGCAGAGCCACGCGTCAGCTGGGGCCGAGAGGGGGCGGGCTCAGCAGGCCGGTGGGCGGGGAGCAGGCCTGAGGTCAAACCCTCCATGCAGAACCGGGGTAAACAGCAGCTCGTAACCAGCCCTCGGGCGTCATCACCCAGGCCCAGCCAGCTATGGGCTGAGCTGCCGCAGAAGAGGACAGGCACTCGCCAGGAGGGGAAGGCGCTCCACAAGGTCACGCGGGGCTCCCAGCACGGCACACTCTCTCCCAGCCAAGCGCTCTGCTGGCTCGGCCGCTCTGGTGCGCAGACTGAACTCTGCTTGTTGCTCAGCCCTGCAACTTCCCGGGCAGCCTGGGCTACTCAGAGGCCACAAGACAAGCCCCACCAGACGTGGGGTCAGAGAAACCTGCTTCACCACCTGACTCTGTGACTGAGGGCAGCCTCTCACCTGTCTGAGCCTCAGCATCCCCATCTGGAAAATGGGACAATGATCCCTACCTCCCTGAGCCCACGACCAAGTGAGACAAGACCTCTGGGCACCTGGCACCACGTAGGGGTTTTGCTGGAGTCACCGGATTTCAGATCTAGGTGATGGGTGTGGAAACTGGCCATCTTGCCCAAGGCCCACGGCAAGAAGAGGTAAAACAGCCAGAGTCTGCAGGCAGGGCCTGGCAGGCGTGTGGACCCATCTGACCACCAAGCCACCTAGGAGCCCCCCCAAGCCCCACAGGACCAGTGGAGGATATGGGAGCATGAATCTGCAAAGAGGAGCGAGTCTCCTCCGTGGAGGCGGGTGGGGCAGCTGAACCAGAGACCCACCTTCCAGAGGGGAGAAGGCACCGAACTAGAGTGTCTGCAGACTCTGGAGTCAGGGTGTGAATCCCAGGTAGGGCCCTTCACCTCCACAAGCCTCGGTGTTCCCATCTGTAAAGTGGGGATAACGTCTGCCCTGCAGGGTTGTGAAGCAGAGCCGACCCGCACCTGCCACACAAGAGTCTCTGGAAGTGACCACTGCAGCAACAAAAGATGTGACACGCACCGAGGGTTGTTATGATTTACAGAACACGCAACCAGCAACACGCACGCCCACATGCATGCACGTGAAGAGACACACACGTGGACCTTCCCTGGTGGTCCAGGGGTCAAGAATCCACCCTACAATGCAGGGGATGGGAGTTCAATCCCTGGTCAGGGAACGAGGATCCCATGTGCCCTGAGGTAGTAACCACTGAGCCCATGCTCCACAACTAGAGAGGCCGCGCGCAGCCGTGAAAGCGACTACAGGGCGCAGCTAAGACCCGATGCGGCCAAACAAACACATATTTTTTTAAAAAGAGATGCACGTGTGCTCACACATGCACTGCAAGTCTATACAAACTTTCACACATACATGTGCATACCCACAAGCACACACGTGGCCATGCATGCACACGTGTGTGCCACACACCTTGTCATTCATGCTCATGCACACGCTTGCACACCGACATGCCACTTGGGTGCCTGTGGTCCGAACCCTGAGTTTCACTTTTCACCTGTGCTCGCAGTGAGGCCACCTGGAGGCCCCCCAGGAGGAGGAGGGGGAGGCGAAGGCAGAGGGCAGGCCGGTGAGCTGAAGGTGCCCACGTCCACACCGGACCGCGTGTCTGAACACTGCTCCAGGACAGCCAAGGACCGTCCCACTTCCCCTGCCCCGTGCCTGAGGGCAGACCACGTCCTGAGACTCGAGGCGTCAGCCCATCCGCCCCTCCACTGAGACTCACTGGACAGATGAGGAAACTGAGGCAGAGGGATGTTCTTGCAGATCCAGGAAGCGGACGCAGGGGACTGAACCTGGAGTTCTGGCTCCCAGGCCCCGCCCGCCACCGAGCAGCCTGCAGGCTGGTGCCACCCCTCCGGTGTCCGGCCCCCGCAGAGCGGCGGAAGGCATCCCCATCAGGTGGCAGGGACTCTGGTGAGTCCACAATGGGGATACCACTCAAGAAACCCTCTGCTGTTGACTTTCTTCCCTCTACATCCCCAAACAGGACCCACGACCCCAACGGGGCTCAAGCTCATGGCAGCACACGTGATCCTGGTGATCCTGGTGGGTCCACAGGGGCCACACGCAGCTCACCCCTCACCCCCTCACCCTGCGAGCAGCTGGGGAAGGCCTCCCGGACCACATTTCCAGGGCAAGCATCTCCCTTTCTGCATCCTGATGACTTCCCTCCAAAAGGCAGGTTCTGAGCTGAGTTGTGCCCCTTTCCACATGTGTGTGTTAGGATCCCGACCCCCAGGATCTCAGAAAGTGAGTGCATTTGGAGATGGGGCTATTAAAGAGGTAGTGAAGGTCAAACGGGGTCACTAGTGTGGGCCCTAATCTCACAGGACCAGGGTCCTGTTAAGGAGGTGAGGACACAGACACGCAGAGAGGGACCACCCTGTGAGGACACGGGGAGGAGACAGCCGTCTGCTCGCCCAGGAGGGAGGCCTCAGGAGGAAGCAGCCCCGCCCACACCTGGGTTTCAGTTTTCAGCCTCCAGGACCGGGAGAAATTTCTGCCTGCGGGAAGTTGGTTAGAACAGCTGAGGAACTAACACAGCGCATGATAGGCAAACCCCCATCCATGGTGCCAGCTCGGCCAGAAGGGGACGCATGCCAGCTGCCATCCAACAAGCAGCCCAGTGCCCACCTCCCCACGCCAGCCGGGTACCCAGACTTTGGCCTTCAGAAGATCCCAGGATGGCCTGGTAGCCCCGCCAGCTCAGGGGACTCACCCTCCCCAAGTGGGCAGGAGGGTGAGGCCACTCGACCAAGGGCCCTGCGGCAGAGGGGACTTGAGGGTCCCTGCTGGTCCCTGAGCCGCCCTCGTGGCCGGGCTGGGACCCTGGCCGGTGCACCCAGCCTGTTTCCACCCAGCCGTGGCCTTTCTCACCCCTGTCCACTGGGAAAGTGACAGGGACATGGCCAGGCCACTTCTGGTATCCCTCAGCTGGAAGCCAACTAAGGAGAAAGCGGCTCAGTGGTGAAGACTCTGCCTGCAGTGCAGGAGACGTGGGTTCGATCCCTGAGTCAGGAAGATTCTCCTGGAGAAGGAATTGGCAACCCACTCCAGTATTCTTGCCTGGAGAATCCCATGGACAGAGGAGCCTGGCATCCATGAGGTCACAGAGATTCAGACATGACTTAGCAACGATGACAACAACGATGAGGAGAAAGTCAGGCCAAGGCCGGGGAGCCCATGAGGGCCAGTCCATCCTCACGCTGGCCCTGAGCCAGGACCCAGTGTCCCCACTGTACAGATGAGGAAACTGAGGCCGAGAGAGCCCTGCACCTCTGCTCAAGGTCACAGAGCGAACATGTGGCTGCCAGATGCAGAGCCAGTCCACAGGGGACTCGCTGCCCCGGGGGACCCTCAGACCCTCCAGATAGGCTGTCCTCCTCCCGTCCTGCTTCTGCGCTGAGTGCCCTTGGGAGGGCTTCACTAATGGACGGGTCCCCAGGCCTGTGAGAACGTAGCCACAGGAACAGGACTCAGTCTATCCTGTCCACGCCATCCCCAGCGCAAGAAGAGGTGCCTGGCAGGTGGGAGGTGTCTGAATGAATGAAGGAATGAATGTGTCTGTGGTTGAGCGATTGAATGAATGAATGAGCTGGTCCAGTGGCTCCAAACCTGCCTCTTCAGCCTCCCATGAACTGAAATCAAGTCCCAAAGGCTCAGAGCCAGGCCCTGTGAGATCTTGCTCTGTGCTTTTGAATCTTAGTTCCACGGCTGGATGGCCTGAACTTACATGAGTTTCCTAAGACCCCAGCCTCTCCAGCCTTAAAATTGGAATAACGGCTACTGCAGAGGGCTGCTGGGGTGTGAAATGGGCGAGACCCCTGTGGGCCCAGCAGAGTGAAAGGTCTTGACATGAGACCATCCTGGCAGGGGTCCATACGAGAGACAGAGGCAAAGAGGTGGGAAGGAAGGCCATGTGACGATGGTGGGAGGGATCTGAGGGATGCAGCGGAAAGCCCGGGAACACCCGCAGCCATCAGGAGCTGAAGAGGCAGGAAGGAGCCTCCTCCAGGGCCTCCGAAATGAGTGCAACCCCGGCACACCTTGATTTCCGGCTTTGGGCGGAGAATCGAATTCTGTTATTTTAAGCCATCCAGTTTGTGGTCACTTGACATGTATGGCTGCCCCAGGACAGTCACACATCTCCCATCTTTTAAATATACATACACATGAAGGCTCACTGCTTTTCTTTTACTATTTCTGAAAGACCAAAGCACACAGCAGCCGCAGGGCCTGGAAGACGGGTCATCAAGGCCGGGACTCTAGAAGGCAGCCCCAGAGCGGAGCCCCGTGCTACCCCGAGAGGTAAGTCTATCCCAGATGGGAACAGTGGGTGGGCCTCCCCCATGGGGCCGCTGAAAACAGCCCGGCGAGGGAGACTGTGAAGTGCCTTTCCCCGTGGCGCGCTGGGAGCCGTGCGGACCCTGAGCCTAGCTCCTGAACTTGACCCAGCACTTGAACTCCTCTCTGACACCGCCTCCCCAGCTTTCTCAGCCAGAGATGGCAAGTGTGCGGGCACCGGGCCTCGGCCGCTCTGGCCTGCCCCGAAGCAGCGGCCGTCACGTGGTCGGGGTGCCGAGCTGGTGGAAGGCCACGCTCGCGCCCCTGGCACCGCCGCCCACTGCAAGCGCCCGGCCTGAATTGGTGCCAGCAGCTCTCAGAGCTGTCATGTGCCTGGACTGCTGGCGGCCAGCCGGTCAAGGGGCCCTGCCCACCCTCCCCGCTTGGCACACCTCTGATTCGCAGGAATGTGTGTGTGTGCGCTTTTTATTCCTTCAAGGGGAAAAAGCTCTCTCTCTGCAGAATTCTTCCTGGGACCCCGGCTGCTGGCTGCTGGATGGGCTCCCGTGCAGGTGGGGCTTCAGTGGGGGACCCCGCCCTGGGCTCTTCCCGCACCAGCGCCCTCGGAGGCCCCCCTCATTTGGGAAGGACTTGCTGGCCAAGTTTACAGGGAAGGCTGGAGGGTCGGCCCCACCCAGCTTCAGAACCCACCTCTGAGACTTTTTTTTAAATTTATTTATTTTTAATTGAAGGATAGTTGCTTCACAAGATTGGTTTGTTTTCTGCCATACGTCAACATGAATCAGCCATAGGTGTACATATGTCTCCTCCCTCTTGAACCTCCCTCCCATCTCCCTCCCCATCCCACTCCTCTAGGTTATCTCAGAGCCCCAGGTTGAGTTGCCTGAGTCATATAGCAAACTTCCGTTGGCTATTTATTTTACATATTGGTAGAGTATATGCTTCTAATGAGGTGGATGAACCTAGAACTTATTATACAGAGTGAAGCAAGTCAGAAAGCGAAAAACAAATACTACATATTAGCACATATGTATGGAATCTAGAAAGATGATACTGATGAACCTATTTGCAGGGCAGCAATGGAGACGCTGACATAAAGAACAGACTTGAATGAACATTTCTGAGACTTTAATTCCCGGAAGTCAACTGATGACCTTGGGCAAATTCCTCCCCCGGCCAACCCTCTGAGTGCTCCTTCACAAGATGGGACCCTGCACGCATGAGGCCACGTGGTCATTATCATCCAAACTGGGACCCTTTGGAGTTTTCACTTTTCAGGGGGACAATTCATGATGACGCCCAGTGACCGGCATCAACTGGGACTGTGGGGCAGACTGGGGTGTTTGGCCACCTTTAAATTAAATAAGATAACAGACGCAAATAAGATAATGCCCTTGGCTCGGCCTCCTGGTAAAAGCGCTTGATAAAGAGAGGTGAAGGGCACTCCTGTTTTCTCCACGTTGTGGCTGCCCGCCCAGTGCCCCTCGGTCCTATCTGTCTAGAACAAGGCTGGTCCCAGGTTTCTCCAGCGACACTTGGAGGTGAACTGCCTATGGCCAGGCCATGCACAGAGTACTTGGTTTTGTTTGGTTTTGCTTTTATTTTTTTGCCACAATCTTGCAGGGTCTCATAGCTGGTGAGAGTGAATCACCCCCAGAGAGAGCAAAGTATGTGAATATTGACAAAATGGTTCTTTAGCACATGTTCTCAATTACGAAAGTGCTCCTCTTGTTAGCGCAAATGGGAAAAAAAGAAATTGTCAAGGTATGAATTTCTGGTGTGTTGTAATTAACATGTGTTTCTAACTCAAAGCGATGTTTTGAGGCTGGAAACCAGGAAGGCAGCCCGCTGGATCCGTTGTGGGGCGATCCTGTTTGAGGGCCCTTCTGATGAAAGCCTTTCTGTTTAGGGTCTTTTGTCTCTTAGCCAAAGTTCGGTGCCTACAAAAGGAAATGCTTTGAAAAAAAAAAAAAGGAAATGCTTTGGGTCTGTCTCGGCATGGGTGATCCTTGGTGGAGACCACATTTCCAGGTGGGGAGTGTTCTGTAAATCAGGGCCATCGGCTCCAGAGGAACTGGAGGCTGTGAGTGACGGCCACATGCTGCGGTCGCAAAGTGGCTGAGGGGCGTGGCCCCAGGGACCACCCAGCCCCAGGCCCTAGAAGAGGCCCGAGAAATCCTGCTGTATCACCAAGGGCAGCTCCCAGGCAGCCCCCCAGCAGTTCAGAGGCAGCCCCCTCCCCCACAGGAAAAGTGGGGGTAGAGGCCCAGAGGGGCCAGTTCTGGCCCCAGGTCACCCAGCAAGCAGTGAGGAGAGCCAAACGGGGACCCCGTGGCTGACACGGTCGCCCTCCCAGAGTACGTGAGGGCCAAGCAGGAACCAAACAGCACTGTCCCGTAACACCCCTGTGACGGAGGTGCGTACAGTCAAAGCCGTGGTTCTCCAGCGGTCATGTATGGGTGTAAGAGCTGGACCACAAAGAAGGCTGAGCTCCAAAGAACTGATGCTTGCAAACTGTGGTGCTGGAGAAGACTCTTGAGAGTCCCTTGGACTGCAAGGAGATCCAATCAGTCCATCCTAAAGGAGATCAACCCTGAATATTCTTTGGAAGGACTGATGCTGAAGCTGAAACTCCAATACTTTGGCCACCTGATGCAAAGAGCCAACTCACTGGAAAAGACCCTGATGCTGGGAAAGATTGAAGGCAGGAGGAGAAGGGGACGACAGAGGATGAGATGGTTGGATGGCATCACCTACTTGATGGACTTGAGTTTGAGCAAGCTCCGGGAGATAATGGAAGGCAGAGGAGCCTGGCATCCTGCAGTCCATGGGGTCACAAAGAGTCAGACACGACTTTGCGACTGAGCGACATCACACCTCTGCCCGGTGTCAGGTTCGTCTCTTTACTCCGGATCTGGGCCCTCATCTCCACCACCCAGGCCTCCTCATTGACTGCCCATTCACTGAGTGGGCAGGGACTTGCCAGTGCCTCCAGGGATGCTATTGTATCTCCCGCGTCCACGAGGAGAAAGCTGGGCACAGCGACGTTAGGTACCTTGCTCAAAGCCACACAGCCTACGTCCGGCTGCTCCCTTGCCTTCGCTCTCGGCCACTCCCGTCTGCCTCTGCATATGCGCCCTCGCCTCTGGCACCACTGCCTTTGAACTGGTCTTCCCACAGGAGGGGGTGTGTGTGCCGTCCGCACCATCTATGCCATGAGCCTGAGTCCCTCGGGCTGCAAGGAGATCGAGAGGCTGAGGACAGGGCCCTGCACGCTGCCTCTCACGCATGCGCTCGCCTCTTCTCCACAGCAGTGCTCGGAGCCGACTCTGGGCCTGAAACTCACAGAAACGGGAGGGCATCGGGGACCCCCATACAACGGGAAGATCCGCGGAAGGAGCCTAGAGCGTGGTGAGCACAGCTCTGCAGGGAGGTCCGCCAGTGAAGGGCCAGGAGGTCAGTGAAGGGCCACGACATCAGAGCAACTGCTCCAAGACAGGGTGTCTGGCTCGGCCAGGGGTGAACAGAGCAGAGAGGGAGATGCCACGTCCAGGGATGTCTTCACAGTCGCCCGGGGGCAGGCCAGAAAAAGGAGGGGCCGTTTAGGATCAAGCCAGGAGTTGAGACCTCTCTTAGACTTTCATTTGGTGGAAACGTAGAAAGTTCTAAGCACAGGGTAAGGGAGGCCATCTTACCATTTAGAAGTGTCTCTGGAGGGCACAGTGCCCAGAAGAGGAAGCGGGGTCCCAAGGCCCCCAAGGCCAGGAGGGGACGCGGATTGGGGCTGAGCGGGGGGGCGCTTGTCTTGGGAGGCGGGGCTGGCAGACAAGCTGGCGTGGTCCAGGATCTCCCTCACTGTGGTGCATATTTTAACATCTTGCCATGCCTTTGGACTCTGCAAGAAAAGGATGTTTCCAGACAGTCATTAGAAAGTTCAGTGGCTGTAAGAAATGAGCATCTGATTACGAGCGTGACCCCCTAACTCCCACCTGCCCCCTGGCAAGTTGCCCAACTCTTGATATTCAAGAAACCGATTTGGGAGGCACAACCAAAGTTTGCCCTTTGGCAGGAATTTCTTGTAGGGAAAGAACATCTAAGATGGAATTCAAGGAACACAGAGTCCCAGACCAGGCACCCAGGATGAGCTCTTGCAAAGAAGACGCCAGCCCCATCCTGGTGTGGGATGTGATGAGCAGAAGTGGGGACCACCAAACCAGAGCCTCTGTGCTTCCCCAGGGCTGGGTGCTCACACCCTTGGGCAGATGAGGGGGTGGGAGTGTTCACAGGGTCGCGGGACTGCCAGAAAGTAAAATTACACTTTTATGCCAGTGCCCGAGGGAGCCGGGGAGGGCACGGCCAGGGCCCCAGCCCCTGGCATCAGGAGAATTTGCTCCACCCGCTGCAAGAAGGCAGGCTCACCCAGCCATGGCCCAATGGGTAGGCAGAATCAGCATGTTGGCCTGAGCTATCTTGGGCCAAAATGTGGATGCCACACGTAGCAAAGAGTTAATGATCAACCAGTCACCCCTCTCCAAAAGACTGAGGACTAATAGGGCCATAAAATGTGTAAATGTCTGGCCCGGACCAGACTAGAAGTGACAGCTTGGGAGTGCACGTTGCTCAGTCTTCCCTTTAGACAGCCTTGTGCTAGAAGCCGCCGGTGGAGGTGTGGGTCCAGGGCCTGGGGGCAGACCACTTATCTGGAGAAGATTCCCAGGCCCTCGGCTCACACCCCCCCTCTCAGGCCAAGAACCCCTCCGCTGCGGGCACCGCTCGGGAACACGAATCCTTTCCCAGGCTGTCGTCCTCGGGAGACGGCCTGGAGTCATTTAAACAGAACGCGTGTTGTCCCTTGAAGGTAAGCAGCAGGATGGGGTCCCTGGACAGGACGGCGGGGCGTCCTCCGGCCTCTGGTTCTGAAGCAGTGGACACCTGAGGAAAGGGCTTCCCGCAGAGCTGCTGACTTGGGCCAATTTAAATGCTAATTCCAGAAGTGACTCTTCCTAGCTTCAGTAAAAGCTGAGGAATGTTCCAAAGGTCCGAACAGATTGTACCATTAACAGACAGGGGAGCTGTGGGCGTGTGAACCCGGCTCAGCCTAAATTTAGGCCCACGTGCTCCTTCAGCTGACTTGGCCTGAAAGAAACTGCTTCAGCATCTGAAGCCTCCAAGTGTCCATCTCAACCTTAAGGTCCCCTTTCAGAGTAACCTGCTAAGAGAACAAAGACTGTGAAACAGACCTGGAGATGCCCATGCCCCCAGAGGGGCTGACGGACACTGAGGATGTGAGCATGGCCAGAAGATGCAGGAGATGGCTCCCCTATCCAAGGCCGGGCGGTACCCCCGCTGCCCACCCCCTCCCACCGCCCAAGGCCTTCCATCTCCTGAGGCTTTGCATACTCTGTTGCCTGCTCCACTCTCTTGACCAGGTCCCCGACTCATCCCACTTACAGGCCCCTTCCTCAGAGAAGCCCACCCTGACCACTGCAGGGGGTGAGGCCATGGCTATCCACTCAGTGGGAACTCCATCTTCCGACCTGGTGAGCCTCCGAATTCCAGTGCAATTACGATATGTGTGATAAAGTGTTCCGTGTCTCCAGCCACTATTCAGTGGTGAGAGCAGGGATCAGGTCTGTCCTGTATCCTCAGTATCTAGAAGACTGTTTGCCACAGAATACAGGGGGAGGGATGGATAGATGGACGGATGAATGATTAAATGAATGGTTGAGTGGATGGATGAATGGATAGATGGATAGACGAACAGGTGGATGGTCTCCTCTAAGCCTCTGTTTCCTCATCTGTAAGAAGGGCCTCCCATAGGGAAGTGGTGAGGATTAAGCCTGGTAACATGTGCCAATGCAGTGCCTGGTACCCAGGAGACGTTCAACACACAGGGAACACATGTGTTAATTCACTGATTGTCTGAGACTCTGAAGGGAGAGCTGCTCCTCAGGTAGGCTGGGTTAGAGACACCCTTAAACATGGCAGAGCCTTATAAACACAACGACCGTGATCCCATCATTACATCTCAGCCGCTGGTTGGTGCTGAGCCTGACCCCACCTTGAAGAGAACAAGGAAATGGACGCGACTCCCAGCTTTGCTTTTGGTTGTTCACGGTGCCTGATTAAAGGGGTTGCTCTGATACCTCAGAAAAATCCTGGAGCCCAGGGTCATGAGCAGCCCCATGGACACTCACCTCTGACTGCCCAGCTCACAGACCATGGACTGCCAGCCGTCAGTGTGAGCATTAAAATGTGCATCGGTCTATATCCCCCCTTCACTCAAACCCTGCATGGGCTCCCTGCCTCCCTTGCCCACAAAGCCCCTGTGCTGGCCTGCAACCCCTCCCTCCCCTTAGCGCCTCTGCCCCCCACGCAGCCCCCTGGGTGAGCCTGGACGCCCCCACTAAGCCTTCCTCAGGGCCTTTGCACAGGCTGCTTGCTCTGGTTCATCCCACAGGTCTCCACCTGGCTCCCGCCCATGCTTCCTTCAAGCCTTTGCTGAGATAGCCCTTCATCAGAGAGGACTCTGCTGACTCACTGAAAACAGCAGCGCCCGTGGTCTGAATCCGCCCCCCCCTCCACTGCTAGACACATTGAACACTTCCTCTCCTCCTCTCCACCCGCCTACCCCCGCTAGGACACTGGGAGCAGCGGGCACGTCTGTCTGTCCTCTTCTCAGCTGTATCCACAGCCCTGGCACCCAGCGGAAGCTTCAGTAAATGGTGGCCAAGTGGATGGATGGATGGATGGATGGATGGATGGGTGGATGGATGGATGGGTGAATGGATGGATGGATGGGTGGATGGATGGATGGATGGATGGATGGATAATGGATGGGTGGATGGATCGCTGGATGGATAGTTGGATGGATGGATGGGTGGTGGATAAATAGATGGGTGGATGGATAGATAAGTGGATGGGTGGACGGATGGATGGATGGGTGAGGTAGTTATTCATTCACTCATTAATTTAATAATCAAACCATTCAACATCACAGTAATCTAATTCTATGCCCCAAACACTAATGCTGAAGAAGCTGAAGTTGAATGGTTCTATGAGGACCTACAAGACCTTCTAGAAGTAACACCCCAAAATAGATGTCGTTTTCATCATAGAGGATTGGAATGCAAAACTAGGAAGTCAACAGATACCTGGAGTAATGGGCAAGTTTGGCCTTGGAGTACAAAATAAAGCAGAGCAAAGGGTAACAGAGTTTTGCCAAGAGAATGCAGTGGTCACAGCAAACACCCTCTTCCAGCAACACAAGAGATGACTCTACACATGGACATCACCAGATGGTCAATACCGAAATCAGATTGCAGCTGAAGATGGAGAAGCTCTATACAGCCAGCAAAAACAAGATAGGGAACTAACTGTGGCTGAAATCATTAGCTCCTCATTGCAAAACTCAGGCTTAAGTTGAAGAAAGTAGGGAAAACCACTAGACCATTCAGGTATGACCTAAATCAAATCTCTTATGATTATAGAGTGGAGGTGATAAATAATTAAAGGGATTAGATCTGATGGAATGGCTGAAGGACTATGGACAGAGATGCGTGACGTTGTACGGGAAGCTGTGACCAAAATCATCCCCAAGCAGAAGAAATGAAAAAAAGGCGAAATGGTTGTCTGAGAGGCCTTGCAAATGGCTGAGAAAAGAAGAGAAGTGAAAGGCAAAGGAGAAAAGGAAAGATACACCCATCTGAATGCAGAGTTCCAAAGAGTAGCAAGGAGAGAGAAGAAAGTCTTCTTAAGTGAACAATGCAAAGAAATAGAGGAAAACAACAGAATGGGAAAGACTAGAGAGCTCTTCAAGAAAACTAGAGATACCAAGGGATCATTTAATGCAAAGATGGGCACAATAAAGGACAAAAAAGGATCTAACAGAAGCAGAAGCTATTAAGAAGAGGTGGCAACAATACACAGAGAAGCTATACGAGAAAGGTCTTACTGACCCAGATAACCATGATGGTGTGGTCACTCACCTAGAGCCAGATATCCTGGAGTGTGAAGTCAAGTGGGCCTTAGGAAGCATTGCAACAAACAAAACTAGTGGAGGTGATGGAACTCCAGTTGAGCTATTTCAAATCCTAAAAGATGATGCTGTGAAAATGCTGCACTCAATATGCCAGCAAATTTGCAAAACTCAGCAGTGGCCACAGGACTGGAAAAGGTCAGTTTTCATTCCAATCCCAGAGAAAGCTCATTTCACATGCTAGCAAGGTAATGCTCCAAATCCTTCAAGCTAAGCTTCAGCAATATGTGAACTGAGAACTTTCAGATGTACAAGATGGATTTAGAAAAGGCAGAGGAACCAGAAATCAAATTGCCAACACTCATTGGATCATAGAGATAGCAAGGGAATTCCAGAAAAACATCTACTTCTGCTTCATGAACTACATATGCTAAAGCCTTTGACAGTGTGGATCACAACAAACCGTGGAAACTTTTTAAAGAGATAGGAATAACAGACCACCTTACCTGCCTCCTAAGAAACCTGTGTGCAGGACAAGAAGCAACAGTTAGAACCAGACATAGAACGACAGACTGGCTCAAAACTGGGAAAAGAGTACATCAAGGCTGTATATTGTCACCCTGCTTATTTAACTTATATGCAGAGTACATCATGCAAAATGCTGGCAATCAAGATTGCCAAGACAAATAGCAATAACCTCAGATGACACCACCCTTATGGCAGAAATCGAAGAGGAACTAAAGAGCCTCTTGATGTGGGTGAAAGCAGAAAATGAAAAAGCTGGCTTAAAACTCAACATTCAAAAAACTAAGATCATGGTATCCGGTCCCATCACTTCATGGCAAATAGATGGAAAAATACTGGAAACAGTGGCAGATTTTATCTTCTTGGGCTTCAAAATCACTGCAGGTGGTGACTGTAGCCATAAAATTAAAAGACACTTGCCCCTTGGAAGAAAAGTTATGACCAACCTAGACAGAATATTAAAAAGCAGAGATATTACTTTACCACCAAATGTCCATCTAGTCAAAGCTGTGGCTTTTCCAGTAGTCATGTATGGATGTGAGAGTTGAACCACAAAGCAGGCTGAGTGCCAAAGAATTGATGCTTTCTAATTGTGGTGTTAGAGAAGACTCTTGAGAGTCCCTTGGAGAGCAAGGAGATCAAGCCAGTCAATCCTAAAGGAAATCAACCCTTAATATTCATTGGAAGGACTGATGCTGAAGCTCCAATACTTTGGCCATGTGATGCAAAGAGCCGACTCATTGGAAAAGACCCTGATGCTGGGAAAGATTGAAGACAGGAGGAGAAGGGGGCGACAGAGGATGAGATGGTTGGATGGCATCACCAACTCAATGGACATGAATTTGAGCAAACTCCAGGAGTTGGTGATGGACAGGGAAGCCTGGTGTGCTGCAGTCCATGGGGTTGGAAAGAGTTGGACATGACTTAGCAGCTTAACGGCAGGAACAAATAGTGATTAGGACGTGAGTCCCCGTGGATCCATGGGTGACCAGAGTGCCGATTGGGGAAGGGGGCGGGGCGCCTAGGTAGGTGCAGAGCTGGGAGGGCAGCAGGGCGCCCCTCTCTCAGAAGTGGGATGAAGCCGCAGCCTGAAAAGCGGGTGAGAGGCAGCGTGTGCAAGTCCTGGTGTGGCAGCAACAAGGAACCCCACCCGGGGCTTGAAACAGCAGGAAACCAACGCTCTGCCAACCTGGAGGCCAGAGCCTGAGATCAAGGTGTAGACGGGGCTGGCTCCCTCCAAAGGCTCCGGAGGGGCACCCTTCCTGCCTCTCCCAGCTTCTGGTGCTCCGGGCCCCCCGGGCTGTGGCCTCGTCCGCCCAGCTTCGGCCGTGTCTTCACAGGGCCGCCTCCCTCTTTGCTCTCTCCTCTTCTGTCTCTTATAAGGATGCTTGCTGACTTGGTTACCTCTGCAGAGACCCATCATAGACCCAAATAGTGTCACATTCACAGGTACATGGGTGGTGGTGAGGGCGGACATCACCAGGTGGGGCCCGCCCTTAGCGCTGAGGAGTGGGGGCCGCAGGAGGCCCACCCCATGGATGCGGCCTGAGGTAAAGGAGGCCAAGTTGCCCAGAGGAGCATCTGGGCAGGGGCCACGCCGGACGCGTTCACCACAGATCCCAGACGGGCGCAGTGCTGATGCGTCGTTGTTCCATCACACAGTCACGTCTGACTCTTTGTGACCCCGTGGACTGCAGCACCCCAGGCTTCCCAGTCCTCCTCTGTCTCCCAGGATTTGCTCAAATTCATGTCCATCGAGTCGGTGATGCTAGCGAACCTTCTCATCCTCTGTCGTCCTCCTGCCCCCAATCCCTCCCAGCATCAGGGTCTTTTCTAATGAGTCAACTCTTCGCATGAGGTGGCCAAAGTATTGGAGTTTCAGCTTCAGCATCAGTCCTTCCAATGAACACCCAGGACTGATCTCCTTTAGGATGAACTCCTTGCAGTCCAAGGGAATCTCAAGAGTCTTCAACACCACAGTTCGAAAATATCAATTCTTCGATGTTCAGCCTTCTTCATAGTCCAACACTCACATCCGTACATGACTCCTGGAAAAACCATGGCTTTGACTAGACAGACTTTTGTCAGCAAAGTAATGTCTCCGTGGTGCTGACGTGGGGCTGAGCAAATCCCAGGCCCAGCTCACGCTTGCAGTGTCGATGGCAGAGCCATCCTTGCAGTCCCAGCACAAACACAGTGTCCCAGACCCTGGGCCACATGCCATGGGGGGGCCCAAGGACCCTCCCGGAATGAGCTCTGGCCAGACGGGGCAGGGTCTTCCTGAGCAGCATGGCCTGGGGTACTCTCTCCTGGGTCTCGGCTTCCCGAACTGCAGGGATCCAAGACAGAGGCCCTCGAAGGCCATTCCTGCTTCAAGTCCTCCGATTCCAAGGACACGTGGGGCTCGCTCAAGGCATCACCCACCAGCTCATGGAACAGAGAGCTCGTGCTCTGGGCTTGAGTCTCCAGGCGTCCCAGGGACCCTGCCCAGCCCCAGCCCGCCCCCCTCCCCCTGAACTCTCCCTTTGAACCGTCCATAAAGTCCTGATCCTGCTGCTGCCCGGAGGCTGTGATCCTTGAAAGCCCCGTCACCGCGAGCCCCTGTCTCCCCTGCCTTTCTGAGGCCAGGCTCCCCGTGGCCAGACGCTGTCTCTGTCACCTTCCGGATCATTCATGGGCAAGGGCTAGCCTGGGAGCTGGCCTCCAAGCAGCCCCAGGCTGGACAGTGGTGAGAAGGAGGCCTGAGTCCCTGGGCAGGGCTAGGACGGGAGGCCCGAGAAGGCTCCGAGAATCGCCCGGAGGCGGCTTCCCACAGAAGCCTCCCCGGGCAGCCGGGCCAGCAGGCCCCGGGGGCTTGGCCAGGTCGCTTTGGCTCCGTAGATCCGGATGGACTGGAAATGCGCAGCTCCGCACAGGGCGTTCCAAGCCGGGCCTGGAAATGCTTCAAAGGCCCGGGAGCAGGGTCGGGCGGCCGGGTCACACGGGAGCGGTCACTCCCGCCACCCGCCAGCCGGTGGCCCCCGGGCCCTGCCTGCAGAGTGGGGGCCTCTGAGTGCCAGCCAGACGTTGGCCCCGCTTTCTCCATGTCAGAAATTAATCAAACGCATCCTGATCATGATCTATGGAAGCGGCTTGGCAGCGCGGGCCTGGCCAGGCTCCAGGCCCACCTCCAGCCACAGGAAAGCCGAGGGTGGCAGAAGTGATCCTTGGCAAGGCTACCACATTGTCCTGGGCTGTGGGAAAGCGCTCCCTGTGCAAACGCTTCCTTAAATCCAGCCATAAGGAAACATCCGCGATGGCCTTGGCGACGACTGTCCGCTGGGCCCAACGGGACGCAAGTAAATTAAGGTCCAGTCCGCAGCTCGGACGCCCAGAGCCCACAAGTCACTGGGTGGAGCCTCGCGGCCCCCAGAGCAGGTGGCGGGGCCTTTCTTTCTACTCGAGCATGCTTCCAAATGGCCACCCCGGGGAAGCCCAGCCCCTCCCATCCCAAGGGCCCTGAAGCCCCGCAGGGCTCCGGCTGGCAGAGCTGGGCAGGGGCTGCAGGTGGGGGGTCTCGGGGTCGCCACGCAGGAATGTGGGGCCTGGCGCACATCCGAACCCGCCAGCTGGTCCTGTGTCCTGGGACCTGAGGCGGGGAGCCAAGGAGGGGGCCTGGGGCGGGGTCGGCCCTCCCGGCCCCTGCATGAAGCCATTTGTCAAAGGTGTTTCCCAAATGTCTCTGGAAGGGACCGCCCTCCGAGAGGCTGGCTTGGGCCTGAGCCAGGCGGGGCCGTCGGGGGCTCTTGGCGAGAGTGCCAGCCTTCTTGAGATCAAAAGCCCCCCTCTTGCGCGTCCCCATTTCTCTAGGCCAGGTAAGCACGCCGCAGGGCACCAGGGGCCGGGTGAAGCCAGGGACGTCTGACCCCGGTGACCACATGGGGGTCCCACGAAACCCCCATCACACAAGACCCACGGAGGGGGTCCCTGCAAACAAGAGCTCCCCTAGAACTGCTCCTTTGGGATCATTAGCTGTTTGACACAGAGCCCCAGAGTGAGGGGCTGGGACGCCAGCAAGAAGGGAGGTCCTGCCAGCTGACGAGGCATCTTCACCAGAAGGAAAGACAGTCATGTGAACGCGAAGGGGCCCTGCGGACACAAAGTGAGCTCCGCTCCACGGGGCCCTGTTTCTGAACAAGGAGGCTGGGTGCAAACAGATGTCTGCGTCTCCTCGTGCAGTGGGGGCAGCCTGGCAGTCTCAGGGCCCACGTTCACCTTCCGCTGGTTACACCGAGGGCATGGACGCCACGTGGCCCAGCGTTCCCGCAGCCCAGTGTCCAAGGAAAGACTCTGCGAAGTCGCTGATGCCAGAAACCCTGCCTTTCCCCCTCCCCTCATTTCCCGTGCCACCCATCCAGGACAGCCCATCTCCAGAGGTGCTGAGTGTTACCATAGTCACCCAGGTTCAAGCTGTTGGCACTCACCATTCGTGATGCCAATAAAACCCATGTTGGACCAAGGCATTCAGGGGGGCCGAGGGGACAAATGCAAGTACTGGTGACGGGGGTCCTCCCACTGGTCTCTCCTCTGTCGTCCCTGCAGGCTGGCCAAGAGGGCACGGTTGTTATCCCATCTTGCAGATAAGACAGGGGGTTTGCGTGGCCACCAGTGGCAGGACTGGGCCCCTCAGCCATTCTCGAGGATGCCGTTCCTGGTCTGACACGATTTCTTCTCTGTCTTCTCTGTTTCCTTCAGAGGGTCAAGCCTGACGTAGATGGAGGAGGAGGACAGCAGACCCACTATACAGACAAAGACACTAAGGCCAAGGGAGCTCAGTGATGCCCCAACCTAAAGGCAAGGCTGGCGCTGGAACCCACATCAGGCACCAAACTCTATCCCTGATTCCTGAAGCCCCCCAGGTTGTGTCCACTTTTGTGACCAACACGCGGCCACCAGAAGCTCTGCAGGTTTCATTTATGTCCCCCCAACTCTCAGAATATGACCGTATCTGAAAACAAGAGATAAGATGAGGTCACCCTGGGTCGGGTGAGTCTGAAGCCGATGACTAGCATCCTTACAAGAAAAGAGGACACAGACAGATGGACAGCCACGTGAAGATGAGGCAGAGTTTAGCGGGACGCGGCCACGAGCCAAGGATTGCGGGGGATGGCTAGGGCAGAAGCTGGGAGAGGCAGGAAGGACCCTCCCCCCCAACATCCAGAGGGAGCCTGGCCTTGGTCTAGGACTTTGGCCTCCAGGCTGCGGGGGGATAAACCTCTGTCGTTTGAAGCCACCCTCTTGTGGCTCTCTATTACAGTTTCTCCCCCCAGCACCCCAGCACCCCGTGTTTCAGTCAGAGGGGCCAGGCAGCTCCCACCCTACACGTGACCCTTGATGGGGGACGTGGGTGGGGTTTATTCTGGAAAAAGAGGAGCAGGTGTCGGAACTCTGCACTGAGGAGCCGGGGTCCCAGGTCCCCACTGTTGGCTGGGGGGTGTGACCACCAGCCCAGGCAGGATCGGGGTTGGGCGGGGTCAGCAGGGGAAGGGCCCTGGTCATCGGCCAGGGCTGCATGTCCGGTCCTCAGGTCTGGGGTCTGCTCATCCTCGTAACCGAGAGGCTTGCTGTCCCCTGGGCCCAGTCTCACCTGGATGGCAGAAGGACTTGAGTCTAGCTACTCTGAGCCCAGAGGTGCCAAGTCACACAGGCGGTCCAGAGACCCTTGGGGAGGGTCTGGCTCAACTTTTGCTCCTGCCCCTGGAGCGAGAGAGAGGCCTCTGTGGGGTGGAGGCCTGGCTCAGCGGTGTCCAGAGGCACCCAAGATGCAGCCAGGGACCCCTGCTCCTCCCGCTAGAGGCCTGAAGGGGCCCTTCTCCAGCCTGCACCAGCCTCCCGCCCTCCTCAGGGTCCAGCCTGGAGCCACCCCCACCCCGGCTGCGGTCCCCCGACGGGCCGGGGCAGAGCTCCGGTCCTGCGAAGCTTCGCGGCCGTGGTCCCGCGGTCTCTGCCCTTCAGTTATGCAGCAGAACTATGTGCCTAGTGGAAAGCAAGACCATCCAGGCCCAAGCGCCCCCAAACACATTCCTCGCGTCTCAAAACACTGCCAAAGGCCTCTAATGAGTGAGCCTGCTCCCAGAACGGGGACGCCCTGCCCTCTGAAATCTTCCCCGGGGCCCCAGCATCGGCCAGTCCCGTACCTGCTGGCAGCCCCTCAGGCCTGGACGGGAATAGGCCCGTTTTCCCCAAGTCCAGCCTCACGGCACCCTCAAACATTTCTGACGGTGACAATGTCCGCCTCGTCCTGAGCCAAAATCAGTCTCACTGGGGTGACCTTTAACCCTGGACAATCCCCGAAGTAAGTGGCCAACACTTTGGTTTCTGGAAGCAGCCGGCCAGGCACGCAGAGGAGGTGGGGGTGTTAATGCTGGGAGTGGAGAGGGGTAGTTCTGGAATGTTCTCAGCCCCTTTTTTTCCTCTGTAAGACAGAAATGAGAACACATAAGCACATGGGAGCAAAAAGACGCCCCCAGCAAGCACTGGTCTGCGCTGCTGCAGGTCCGGTCCCCAGAGGCTTATTTCACAGTTTCTCCAAGGACATGAGCTTGGACCCTGTCACTGGCCCCCTTGTCCGTGTCCCTGGAGCCACGGAGGGCAGGCCCTGCACGGAGAAGAGGCGGGATGGTCCCCTTGCTTCCTCGTGGCCTGTTGTCTTGGCTGCACCCTGGGTGCCTTCTGGGCACCACTGAGCCAGGCCCCCGCCCCTCAGAGCCCCCTCCCCCGTTCCAGTGGCAGGAACAAGAGTTGAGCCAGAGACGCTCAGACCTCCCCCGACCGAGGTCTCTGGATTGCACCTCCGGGCCCAAAGTAGTCAGACTTGAATCCCTCTGCCAACCAGATGTTGGGACATCTGGGTCCCCAGATGGGACCCAGGGGACAGCTAGCCTCTCCAGCAGGAAGATGAGCAGAGCCCAGGCCAAGCACCGGACACGCAGCTCTGCTACACAACCAAGGACCTGTCCCCTCCTGGCCGCCCCTGACCCTGCCTGACCCTGCCTGAGCTGGGTGGCCGCCCCACCCACCCAACAGACGGGCACCAGGAAGAACAACCGGTGCAAAGAAGGAGCTTCGTCCACCCATCCCACCTCACTGCCCACCCCCTACCCCAGCTTGGGGGCTGGACTGGGCAGCCCCAGGCGGGGGCACAGGGTCAGGCATCCATTCATTCATTCTCTGTCCATTCTGTCAACAAAGGCTGACTTACAGAGTTCCCGCTCTGCGCCGAGCAGCGTTCTGGGGACTCGGCCATGGATACGATAACATCCTTGCCCTCACAGAGGTTACATTCCAGTAAGGAAGGCAAGCAACAGACAGACACTCCCCAAAGATACACCAGAGGGCGAGGAACGCCGGAGAGTCAGAGTCGGGAGGGGTGGGGTGCGATGGCGTGTGCAAAGGCCCCGAGACACACTCAAGGCTCCGTGGACAGGGGTCACACCCAAGGCCAGGGGTCATGGCAGAGCCCACCTGAGGCCCAGGTTCCTGGGGAAATGGGGCTGCGTGAATCGAGCATCCCTAGAAGAACAAGGTCTTCCCAGCCATGACGGAGGAACCCACGCTGTCCCCAGCCCAGCACCCAGACTCTCGCTGCAGGCGACAGAGGTGCCCCCTCTCGTGCCCCCACCAGGGAAACGGGGTTCAGGTGCCTCCACAGGGGCTGGCAGGCGGGGCTGGCACCAGGGTCACTCCAGACGTACCCAGAGGAGTCCCTGCAGCCAGAGCGGCCCGGGCTACGTCCCGGCCCCCCGAGGATGGGCACACGTCTCCCCACTTTCAGGCCAAGGCCCCCCGGCCTACAATTCAGCAGTTGCTTCCTGTGTACCCAGCACTGGCCCCGACACATCCCTGCCACCTCACTGGTCCTCAGACGAGTTAAAATAGTGATAAGTGAGCCCTAATGGAGGCAGTGTCCGCCCCAGCACAGGCCTTGGGGCCAGGAAGGCTGCGAGAGGAGACCCTTGGTGCAGAAGGCGGCGGGGTGGGGCGGGGGGAGGTCCTGACCAGGGAACCTGCTCTGGGCTAAGCCGGGCCTGGGGCTGGAGTTGGGCTGGGGTCCGGGGGGTGGGCCAGGCCTGGCCTCCAGGGACCCCTGTTGCCGGGGCTCTGCCTCCCTCTGCTGGCCAGCTCTGGTACTGCCGCCTCTCCAGGCGTGTCCTACCTGGCCCTGCCCGGAGCACCCAGGGCCTCACCTGTATGCAAATCACCCGTGAGGCCCCCAGCTCCCTGCCGGCAGGGGCGGCAGGAGGAACCTGCGTTTCCTGGCACCTGAGCTGGCTCAGCCGCCTTCCGGTGGACAGACAAGGAGCCCACTCCAGTCCCACTTCACACACCAGGCAGCTGAGACCAGAGGGAAGAGGCCTGGTCGCAGAGCACGGTCCCGCGGGGCTGGAGTCCAGCCGCAGCCTGCGTGACCTCCAGTCCAGACCGTCTCCTGGGCTTTACTGTGGATCGGCAAACCTCCCCCTCAATCAGTGGACCCCCTGCGAGGCCGCCCAGCCCCCCGTGGCTTCAGGGACCACAGCAGGATGGCAGGTCACCCACGGGTGGCTGGAACGCTCACCCACACCGTGCAACAGCGTGCCTGACCGGTGGGCCTGCGTCTCTGGGCCCAGAGCAGGCTGTTCAGGTGGCTCCCAGTACCTGGAAGCCCCGAAAGTCACCCACCCTGGGTGTCCTCTCCCCGCTGGCTAAGACTCTGAGCTCCCAACGCAGGGGGCCCAGGTTTGATCCCGGGTCAGGGAACTAGGTCCCACACGCCACAACTAAGAGTTCACAAGCCACAATTAAAGATCCTGCAGGCCGAAA